ATTTATTTAGACTACCTATGTCGAGAGTCCAATTTGAGTCTAAACATTTAGCGAGCCAATATCACTCTCAACTCTATTATTAATGAATGAGAGATGATACATATGCCCTTTTTTTTAATTATTAAATTTTATATTGGAGGGAATTTTGGATTAAGGTTTTATTATTTTTTTGTGTCCGTACAAGAACAAATAATCATAAATAGTATGTCTAGCTAGGCTATTCAATAAAGTTTTTAGTCCCACTCCTCTATCCTCTTCGGAACAAAGCATAATTAGAGTCCTATAACTTTGATTAAGTGGCATGACAAGATGGAAAAAAAATTAATAAACTGAAAAAAATATAAGTTTTCTTGTTAGGGTAGGCTCATATTGGAGTCACTGCTTAACATCTTAAATTCGAGGCTCGTAAGATCTGTTGTATAAATATATTCGGAATTAGTACTGTAATCGCAAGTACTTCAAATTAAAAACAAGTGGTTGAGACGATTCTTGATTTTAAAAAATAGAACGCAAAGTATTGTGGGAAAGGTATACTAAAATGGGTTGAAGAAACCCATAAACAAAGTGAAGCATATCTCTAAACGAATGTAATCTTTCTGTTCTTTGTTAGGTTTAGACTTCTTTTTTTTTTTTTTTTTTATGATTGGTCCAAGGGTCCAAACCTACCGTACAAATGCCTAGGATTGAAAATCTCTACGTGAGATCAGATGCTCCCTAAAGTAAGATTGGTGTGTAATGGAGAGGGGAATCTCAGCAAAAGTGGGAAGGAAGGTGACCTTTAAAGAAGAGAAGTACCGGAAATGTAAGATTTTTCTATTGGGGTCTTCAAAGCCTTTATGAAAAACTCCCTAGGGTTCTTCATGTCCCTTTCAGGAATGAAGTGCCTGCAACCACTAGTTAATTGCATTTCTTTAATATGCTAGTTGTGATGGAATCCCTCCTAATTATCTCCAAATCTTCCCTGGTCAATGACTAGAGTACCCTTTTCTAAATATCAAAATCTACCAACACTGCCTAGGGTAAGATTGATAATTGAGCCAAGTTACTCAGGCTCGACTTGGATAAGACTCGACTCAAGCTCGTGTTGAATAATTTTTTTGACTCATTTAAAAAACAAGTTTAAAAGGTTTGACTCGATTTTGTAAAACTAGGCTCATTTATATGTAAAATAATTGAATTAGTCGGGTTTGACGGGGGTTCGACTCATTTTAGGCCTATCTCTGACTCAATTCATTTTTTAAACAAGTCGATTTTGAACAATTTTTCAGACTCGTTAAAAAAAACGAACTCGACAGACTTGGCTCGAACTCGCAAAGTTCAACTTGATTATTAACTCTAACTAGGGTTGGCTTTATTGTCTCATATGTTAGACATATGTTTTTTTTTTTTTGAAGTTGTATCTTGTTAAAATATACTTAACCCATACCTATGTATTTATAATTTTACATAATTAAATTCATTTCGTGTTGTGTTCAAGCTATGAATAAGCGGTGCTTAACTTGATCATATTGTGTGTAGATAGGTATAACGGGTTCACATCCCGAATGACCAACTACAGGAGCTCTTTCGTTTCCTGGAATAATTACACCTCAGACAGAAAAGTGCTGCCACTTGCTATACTTAGCAAGTTGATTTTGTCAGTCTTACGTTGGTTAGATCGTGACTATCTGGATGCTACTAAACAAGGACTATGGATGGGCATGTAAACCAGCTTTAACTGAAAGGTTTTGAGGGCAAGGTTGGGGTGCATCTTTTCTAGCTATTGTTTTTCTTATTCATACTACAGTGACATCACAAGGGCAAGTGTAGCTGGACTTAGATGATTGGCTAACATCATTTCTAAGGACAAAAGTTAATTTAGTTAATCAAAAAATAATCTTTCCTATTTTAGCTACTCAAATTGTGAATACGCCCTCCAACAGATTTTCTATATTTTAATTATTTCTTTTAAATATTATTTTTTATATTTTATATATTTGTTGCGACAATTGGAAGGAGGGAGAGAGAGAAAGAATAGAGAAAAAAACAAAAGAGTCGACAAGAAAGATGAAAAATAATAGGATGAGAGAAAAAAAATTATAAACTATTTATACAAATTATTACACTGATTAGTGGTAGAGCCACTAGTGGACTAGGGGGATCATGGTCCCACCCTAATTTTTTTTTAAATTTATTACCTATATATTTCTAAAATTTTTGGGTATATTTCAGGGTGCCTACCATATATATTTTATGTCTAATCTATCAATTTTTTGTTTTATCAAGTAGTATAGACAAATACTAAATTAATTATGAATTTTTTGACACACTATATACTTTATGGACACGTTTATGCAAGTTTTTGATATGTCGAATTTATTTTTTTAAGTTATGAAAATTGTGAGGATTAAATTACATAATTAAAAGAGTGAGTTAATTATTTTTATAGAAAAAGATATTCTCCATAATATGAATAATGAAGTTATCATATAACGTATTTAAAGTATAAAAACTGATCGAAATCAATTGTAATAAAGTATAATTAGCCTATTTGCATTATTTTTTTGGTACATTCTATGCATGTTGAATTATTTTGTATTTAATAAATGTTTGAGTATCAAATATAATATAATAAATTTAAATATGTTATGTTACTTTTATCAAGTGAAAAAAAACTAAGTTTATAATTAAGGTACCTACTCTGAATAAAATTTTTAACTCTGCCACTTATATTGATACTCTAAATATAGAGTATCACTGTGCAATAAGCTATTTTAGAATATATGAACATGTTCTGTCAGAATATGAATTTTATTTTAAGTTATCTATTTTGAATTTTTACATGTTCTAGTGGAGATGTTTTAAGTAGTCAATGACTTTTTGTGAGTAGCAATAACCTAGGAACATTAATAGAGATAATATAAATATTTAATGTCAAATGGGATATATTCCTTAAAAACGTTAAACCTTAATGGAGGAATTTGAGAATATCTCAAAGAGGTATCTGGATGAGTTTTTTCATAAGATTGAGTCACATACTGTCTTTTTTTCATCTCAGTGACCCAACTTTCTCCCGAACTTTTTTTTTTCTTTCAATCTTAAACTGCCCAGGTTTCCAAGATTGTAATTATTACCAAAGAATTTTATGTAATTTTAGGAAGATCCCTAAAGTATTAATATTTTCGGAATAGCCTGCCCACTTTTTAAGTTTCTGACTCGGTTATTGTGACTGTTCGTATATTTGAACTACCAAACACTAATAAATGGGTAAATATGTATTTCCCATACAATATCAGGAAACTGCAAGAAATTATGATCATCTTTTGAATTTTGTGTATGTGTCTGTGTGTTTTTTTTTGGGGGGGGGGGGTGGATTGAGTGACCTTAAGTGACTTAAAAGTACCTATATTGTATCAGTATCTAAAACGAATTAAGAAGTTTTTACCTTCATAAGAAACCTTATCTCCCTATCATTTGAGCTTGAACCCGAGCTACTAACACATTGTTCTCTTGAATAGGATTTGATGTGGAGTAAATTAAAGAAAACATATAATTATCCGGAAATGCCAAATTGGCGGTCCTTAATTATCCTATCTACTCGAAAATATTTTAAAAAATTTCATGACAATCATGGTCCTTTGAATATTTTCATACCCATCCCTCTTTCGCGATTAATTTAACTAAGAATACTTGATTTTTTAGATAATAATGTTCGATCAAATACATATGAGCATCTCATCAAAAGCCAAAAACAAGTTTAAATTACAGCTTTGATGCTACACTTTAGTAGACCACATAAATGAATCACAAGGAGTCATTTTCACAATGTTGAGTGGCATGGGATGGTTTGTCAAGCACAAAATGAGGATCATGACCTCAAAATTACTTTGCACCAATAATTAGGGTTGCCCCTCAGGAATCTTATTAGTTTATTTCTTTCTTGTGAGTTTTTATGTTGTTTCCTGTGCCTCTGACGTTGTGAAAATATATATTATCAGTTTCTTTAATAAACTGAATTCTGATGAGCCTATCTCTTATTAGACTTTTTCTGCAGCCTCGTTGGGGTGTGTAACAACTTGAGCGTGTTGTGAGTTGTATTGTAACAATTATTTCGGGACAAAAAAATTTACTTACCAAAAAATATGGATGTCTCACACACAGACTATTGCTGTTACCTTGCAAGAAGGCTATATATGTCTCAATGTACAAGACCAATCCAATAGGTCTCCACATCCATTGTATAAGATGTCCGGTGTTCCTGGAATGGATCATGACCTCGGAAAATTAATTTAATTAGAACTTAGATGCAGTGACAATCTAATGTGGTAACCTAAGTAGTAGGTATTCCGACAATAGTGTTTCACATAATTCTTAATTGATCTTTTTAGGTTTTGTTTGGTAGCATGCATACTACCACAAGCACACGTGCGTTAATGTAGTCCACAAATTCAAATTTACAGCATTATTTAAAACAGACTAGGTAAACTTATTGAGAGCATTACAGATTAATGACCAGATTAATGAGGGGGGGACCATATGGTCCATCATTGATGAATGCAAGTCTTTTTCTTAAAGGCTTTTAGGGTTTAGATTGCTCCCACAAACAATTTTAATATCATTAAATATCTAAGAAAAGTAACCTAACTTGTACCATCAATTGGAACTTGCCTGCCACTGTGTCCCCAATAGATGCTGACTATGTTGGCGTCTTGACAATTATATGGCTGTTTGGGATTAATCTCCCTAAACCATGGTGCGTAGTCACACCAAATCCATTATGAAAATAGCAAAATACAGAGAGAAATACAGGTAAAATTTGGGTCGGATACTCAAAATTATCACGCTCCACACAACCTTACAACGTTATGCTATCGAATCTTCCCATTCATACATGGTGCACATGTACATGGACATAGACATTCACTTAACCATGTGTGTGTATCTATAAAAAGAGGTAAGTTAGCGACACAAGGGAAGCAACGTGTCCGTGTTCCACAGGGTCAAGCTTTCTCTTTCTAGAAATGGTTGATAACATAGGGTCTAACTCAGAGAGAGAAGGCCTCAAGTACAGTTTTTCAGGTGCCTCAGGACAGGATGGGGCCATCAAGGAGCAAGATCGCTTGCTGCCGATAGCTAATGTGGGGCGGATCATGAAGCAAACACTGCCGGCCAACGCGAAAATCTCGAAAGAAGCAAAAGAAACGATGCAAGAGTGCGTATCTGAGTTCATAAGCTTTGTCACCGGAGAAGCATCCGACAAGTGTCACAAGGAGAAAAGGAAGACGGTCAACGGGGATGACATTTGTTGGGCTCTCGGAAGTCTTGGGTTCGATGATTATGCTGAGCCATTGAAAAGGTATTTACATAGATATAGAGAGTTAGAGGGAGAGAGAGCTAGCCAAAATAAGGCTAGCAACATTGATGAAAAAGATGAACCATCAAACTACAGAAGTGTTTCACCCACTCCATTTCACTTCAAGGTAGTGGAGTCGAGTAATAACTCTATGTCTAGGAGGGTTTAGGATCTTCAACAGATATGAGAAGAGATAGTAATTTGTGGTTTGTTTTAAGATGTCTATGAGAGTTTTATATTTAGGTTGGGGATGGAGGTTTTTTTTTTGGTGGGTTGGGGTGGTTCTTATCATGGTTTTGGTTTTTGAAGTTGTTTGGACTCAAATTTTTGTTTGTGCTTCCTATAACAAGTTAACCAAGACATATATTTTCATTCTGTTTGGGAGTAAATATGAGCTTAGGGTTTCACTGACTGACTTTATCTGGCTAATATACTTCTCTGTGGTTTCAATCTGAACTCAAGTGGGAGGCCAATGCAATGTTGAACAGGATCTATCTATCTTTTGATTCAAGCTTTGGCCATCGCCAGATCTAGAGAGAGAAATCGTAAGGCCCCTTCACACCATTTGACAAGAATACTAGAAGCATTTTTATACATTCATGGCAAATGATGCATTTTTGTTTCAATTGTTTGCAAGCCCTACCTACGATTAGAGATTTGATACATTTGGGTAGGAGGTTGATATGGGTTTCTTTTAGTTTTTGTTGTTAAATTCTTAGTGACAACTTGATCAGATTTAGATCTTATATGAGCTTTACCCAACTCTCATTTTGATAACAAGGCAGAAACCTCCGATCTAACGTTCATTAGTTTTGTTTGAAATAACAAATGAAGAGTGTCCTGCTCTAACAAGCATCTAGTCCTATCAAAAAACGAGATTTTGCTAAACAAAGAAGAAAAAGACTTTCTATCTTAATAGTAAAGCGCTAACGCACGTTCTTGAAATCAAACTCAAGTTTTTCTTCGATCGATATGCTTTTCGATCAAGTCACTATTTACTTATGTATGATCTAAATGATATGGCTTTTCAATTTTTTTTTGTTAAGCATGCTGCTTAATCACGTTTAGATTTGGATGGCAAAAGAAAAAAAAAAGGTTTAGATCTGGTCTCTATTTACCTGTGAAATTGTTTTGTTGATAGATCATTAGTCTAAATAACATGACTTTTTCTTTTTCAAAATTTCTGTTAAGTTTGCAGTTACAACTTGATCTGATTTAGATTTGATCTGTCAAATTATTTTGTTGATAGATTATCAATCTAAATGACATGACTTTTTCTTTTTTAAAATTTCTGTCAAGTTTGTAGTTACAGTTTGATCTGGTTTCGATCTGATCTGTCAAATTGTTTTGTTGATAGATCATTGGTCTAAATGATATGACTTTTTCTTTTTCAATTTTTTTGCCAAGTTTGCAGTTGTAGTTTGATCTGGTTTTGATTTGATATGGTATCGACAGAGTCACATTTTACCTGTCTAGTGGTGTGAGTGGTCAATCCTTCGTTTAAATGACTTGACTTTTTTAATTAAAAAAAATTAGTAAGTGTGTAGTCACAACTGCATCTAATTTAGATCTAATGTGATTTCAATGAAGTCATCAATATTTACCTATCTAATTGTTTTGCAGATCGATCGTTAGGTTAAATGACATGATTTTTTATTTATTTTTTGCAGTTACAACTTGATCTGGTTTAGATATGATATGACACTGACAGAAGCAGTATTTACTTGTCCAATTGTTTGGTTGATCGATCAGTAGTTTAAATGACATGTTAATTTTTTTTAAAATTTATGTTTTTTAGTTTACAATTTTAACTTAATCTGGTATGATCTTGATTGAATGACTATTTTCATGGTCAATTGTGTGGTTGATCAATCATTAGTTTAAATGATAATTTTGTCTTTATATGCCTAACCTAATACAATTCTTCCCAAATGTAAAATTTATTGATGTGAATAGTCATGATGCACAGATCATTGTAATTATCAATGCAAAGTGTGTGTGTATATATATTCTTTTTTTTTTCTTTTTTTTTGCTTTGAAAAAAAAGAGTGAGAACAAAGGAGAATATTTATAGACCACTTGATAGCCTCTCACTGGTGAGATCATGAAACGCTTAACTGTGCATGTTATTTTTTTTGAGAACGAACCTAATTAAGTTAGTATAACGGTCAACCACCGAACTCCAATGTAAATTCTAAGACTTAAATCTTCAACCTTAAGGTGAGAAATTCGTCCAATACTCCACTATGCCACCCCACTCAAAAGTCAAAGTATATTGTTACACACAAAAAAGAAAGTACCAACTGTAGGTGTTTGGTGAGAGTAACCCTTGCAGATTTGTAATGTGATGAGCACTCTGGCAAATTCCATTGCTAGCTGCCCTAGCATCATGTTCTGGGTGTTCAATTCTATCACTAATTCTGTTTTAAAGAGCTTCAAGAATGAATTAGCATCCCTTTCTTGATTTATAAATATTGTTTGGCTTTGTTCCCTTCAAATATTTGCATATTGAGAGTTTGGGTTTTTAATATTATTTGGGTTTGGTTGGTTTTGTTCTATGTTGATCATTGAGTTTTTTGGAAATAGTAGGTCATCTGTCATAGGAATAGATGAACTACCATCTCATTTTACAAGTGTATTTTTTTTGGTAGATTATAAGTATTTGTTATTTATACAGTATATGTGTTTTTTCTTTCGATTAATGAAAATTCTTACTTACCGAAAAAAAGAGATGCAGAATGACTGGCGAGATTTTGGGCATTTTAAATTATTTTCTAATTATATTCAATTAGAGAAATTAGAAGATCTAGATTTATTTATTTTCTTATTTTATAATTAGGAATCTTTATTTTTTTATTTCCTTATTCAATTAGAATTCTCAAATATTTTATTTTCAGTTTTCATTAGAGTTCTGCTATTATAGATAGCATATTAGGTAATCTATTGGAAAATGGATTTGACATTTCGATAATAAAATTACAAAGAAAGTTTCTCTCTGTGTTTGTGTGTGTGCGCTTTGTCAAAGCTTTCACTGGTATGACGATCAATTAGGTAGCAAGCAGATGTCATCTAAGAAAGCATTACTTCACCATTCAGGCCTATACATGTGACTCCATCCACATCTTTATCTCTCTCTCTTGCTCTCTATCTCTCTCTCTCTATCTATATATATCATCACGTCACATGCCATATCGACTAAAGGGCCAACTATTTATTCAGGGTGGTGGGGTTTTCTTTTCAAACCCTACACCTTGGGACCACATTTTGTTTGCTCCAGAAAAGATTGGTTTGTCGTGAGATCCCTATCATCTCTCTATCACGCTAACACTTTAATTCTACAATCTACACACACACACACACACACATATTTTGATCATAAATATTTTAATTATATTTTAATTATTGAAATATTAAATATATTTTTATGTGATTTTTTAAGTAGAAAACATTCAAATTTTTAACAGTTTTTGATTATAAACTTATCACGTGATATCTAAATATAGACAAATTTTGGTTAAGAACTATTCAATTACTCATTTTTTTTGTCAAAAGTTATCCAAATTTTGGTCAAGAGCTATCAAAATAATTTCTTTGTTCATATTTAAGTATCACATGATAAATTTATCATTAAAAACAGTTAGTATAATTTGGACATTTTATGCTTGAGAGATTATATTGAAATATATTTAATATTTCAGAGACTAAAATGATTAAATTAAAATATTGAGAATTAAAATGAGATAAATCTCATATTTTAAGGATCTCTAATATAATTTCTGAATGTATTTTGGAAGGATTAACTATTTGTAATGACTTAAATCTTAAAGCTCAACTTAAGAGACAAAGATTAACCGGTAGAAAAAAGTTGAAAAATTTTGTAATCAATTTGCTTATACTCTTGATATACCAAAAGATAAATCTTTTAGCAACAAAAAGACTTATTCCAAACCTTATAAAAAGGGTCAAAAATTCTACAAAAAGAATTATGAAATAGCTAACAAACCTACTAAAATTATCAAAGAAAAGGACAAGAAGCCTTATATTAAATGTTTTAAGTGTAGAAAAGAAGGTCACATTGCGTCTAAATGTTTAACTAAACAACAAATAAATGAATTAATTACTGATGAAGATTTTTAAAAAAAAAATCTTTAAAATTGTTTTAAACTACGAAAGTGAGTTAGAAGATAATTCTTATAATTTTTCTGAAGACTATAATATTAATGAAATTAATAATTATTCTTAAGAAACAGAATCTTTAAGACAAGATAAAACTTGTTCTTCACATTGTAAAACTGAAAATGATTATTATAAAGCTATTCTAGCTATGAATGGATTAAGTATAAATACTTTGACTGAGTCACATAATTTTATTCTAGACCTTATAGATAAAATTCAGGATCCAGAATCCAAAAGAAAAACTATTGAAGACAAATTCAGAAGAAAAGAGACCCAATCTGTCTCAACATATTCATTAAAAGAAGTCTTTAATAGAAATGAAAAGGAACTAAGTGATAGCCCATTCCATATAAAGGAAGTTTGGCTTACTACGGTTTAAAATATAAAGATAGAAATCAATGAAATCACAGAAAACATAAAAGTCTTAAAGTCTAGATTATTAGCTTTAGAAAAAATTTCATCTAGAGAAAATGACATATAAGATGATATAACATCTCCATCACTATCTAACTTTGATAAACCATCACCAAATGACCATATAAATATTTTAGAAAAAATAATTTACCAAAAATAGTATGTTAAAATTATTTTGGTTATAAATTCTGAGTTTACTATCGAAACTATTGCTCTAATTGACAATGGAGCAGATATGAACTGCATAAAGACAGGATTAATTCCAACTAAATATTTTGAAAAGACTACTTAGTCAGTCAGTGTTGCTGATGAGTCAAAATTAGATATAAATTTTAAATTTTCTAATATTTTTGTATGTAATCAAGGAAATTGTATTTCTACCACTTTTATGCTTATTGATAATTTAAATCAATTGGTGATCTTAGGAACACCATTTTTATCTTTAATCGAATCTATAGAAAGGATTAATTCTAAAGGAATTTTAACAACCATAAATAGTCAACAGATATTATTTGAGTTCATAACTTCACGTCAAACAAAATTGATAAATCAAATAAAATAACATCTGATTTATAAAGAAAATCAATTAAATTTTTCATCCTATTCTAACATATTAAAAAGTGATGTTTCTTTTGCAGGACAAGACCAAGAAGTTACAAAAATGAGTCATAATCCAGATTCATTATCTTTGGATTTTATTGCCAAATTACCAGAACTTCTTAACTGTTTTTATGATTATGCAGAATAAGATGTTTATAGCTTTTCTTCCACATGGAGTACTAATAATTGCAAAGTTTCACTTTGGAGTCTCTATTGCAATGCTATGAAAAATCAATTAATTGATCATATACCTATTTTTTTTATTAAGAATTGCAAGACATAAAAAAGAATCTTTAAAAGCAGGTTTAAAATTTCATCTTATTCTTGAAATTAATGACTGACACTATGATTGACAATATAAACAATGACCGAAGACTATATTAATGACTGAAAATTCAAGTTCTTCAATTAGTTTGATGACCAGACATCACACAATCCATTTATTTAATGGTTATATTATATGAATAGTGGCCTGTAACTTGTCTAACAACATGATTGTATCACTGTTTGCGATTTGATACTATTTAATGTCTGCTTTTCTCAAACTTATTGTATATATAATTCTATATTTTTAATATTTCTATGACCTATACAATTTATCTTTTTTTGATTATTTAATGAAGAGTACAATGCATCTAGGAGAGGGCTTTTAATGCCTGAAACACCACGTGGCGAACCCGTTTACCATATGATTTTTCTCTTACAAATTGATTCAAACCGACATAAATTAATAAAAGGGTAGAGGTGGAGTTATTTCCGCTCTTATTAAAGACGTTAATGTAAAACTACTAAATTCATCATTTCTATATTTACTCTCATTACTATTAAGCTCACATCATTCTTCAAACAGTTCTTTCATAAAATCACTTTTTTAAATATGATTTTTCAAGTGACATAAAGGTTATCATTATTTCCCAGTTTGATTTTATGTTTTGTTTGATGTTTGCTTCAATTGTAGTTTTCATTGGATTATCTCAAACGGTCTCAAAATTGATGACATATAAAATTATAAAAAAAAAATAGCATAAGATTACGTGTAAGTTGAAGATTATACAGTGCTAGAGAGGAAAAATTGAGCTGATTAAATTGTTAATGACCATGGACTAAATACCCATTTACATATGTAGTGAGAAAATATGAAGGTGACAATACAATATGACTTAGTGTTAAATGATAAATTAACATGTTAAACGATTTCATTTGATCAAATTAACCTCCTTGAATGTGTTGTAGAAGCCAAAAAAAAAAAATAATGTGTTGTAGAAGCATTGGACCTCCGATATCTTCCTCACTGGCTGCTTGTAATACCTGGTTTGTGAGTTCAACTGCCTTGTTTCAAGACTTGCTATTCTAGAGCTCATAAGTCATCCCTACTTTTAGCATTCGCTTCTGAGGGATATCAAACACCTTGATGCTTTGCCTTATGTTCCTCTTCAAAAAATTGTAAGCATAATTTATCAAGATTCTCTTTCCTATCCCAGATCCTTTGCCTGCAACCACCTCATGCTCACCCACCAAGTGAACAACACCAGCCCGCCAAGCTTTGTCCAGTGCTTCAATTTCTCTCTCCATTGCCTCTTCTTGTTTCTCCTTATCGACTTGTTTTGCATCATTGTCTGCATTTTCACCATGACTCGAGCCTTCATTGGATTCTCCTTCCTTTTCTGCACTCTTCATTGTTGCGAATAATGATGGAAAACCTTAAATCTTCCCTAATGAACTCTTTCAACCTTTCAATCAACATTCTCTCAAAGGGCTCTTCCCCATTGCGGATATCTGTGTATCCAAATCTAATGATACAGCGGAAGACATTGAGATCATTTGGTTGTGCTCGACGAAAGAGGAACCGTTCCTCCTCAGGAACTTTGCTTATCGGCAATGATTTGATGGACGAGAAAATGAGGACTGAGTGCAATACAGGCACATTTGCCACATAATGCTTGAAAATGGGTGGGATTCCATGAACGAGTTCAGAATAGAAGATAGCAAGTCCTGGTATTCGACAAAAGCTTGTGTCAACAACTATGTCCTTCAGCTTTTCTGGAGAGACCTTGTTATTTAGCTTGAAATAGTATCTCCTTCTGTATACATCATTCCAAATGTATACCCTCCTTGATTGAATTTGTAGGGGACCGAGCTTAGATAGAGAAGCTCAACGGAGCCAATTACGAGGATATATGTGATTATCAGTAGTATATGAGTTTTCCATATCATTATCATGATCAGCACTAAGAATCCTGATGTGAGAGTCATAACAAAAACCACGGCGATCCCTGCATTCATTAAATGATTATTGGTCAAGGATGTGACCTATTATTTTGGAACATGATCAAATAACAATGACATAAAGGATAGTAACAGGACTCACCATATGCATTGCCTATTTTTTCAGTAGTTCTGAATCCAAGAGTGACTGCAACACAAGCCACCATAAGAAGATAATTGATTTCAGGTATATAAACCTGTCCTTCATACTTAGCCGACGTATGGATGATTTTCACACGAGGAAAACACCTGAGAGAGAGAGATTGTTGGATGATAGAGAAAGTCCCCGAGATCATGGCCTGACTTGCTATGATAGCCGCTAAGACAGCCACCACAAACATAGGCCAATACAGAGGACCTGCATTATAAATTAATTCCCCAGATTAGTAACATAGTATCAAAATAAGGAGAAAATGAAAAAGGTAAGTATGGTGGCTTGGAAAAGAATTTCTCACCTGGGATCTATTTGAAGAAGATATCGGAAACATAGTCATTGTGCTTGCGAAGGAAAGAGGCTTGTCCAATGTATGCAAATATGAAGGGTAAATAACAATACACATACTTATTTGTATAGATCGAACAGTGAAATGGCCAACATCAGCAAACAATGCCTCAGCTCCTGCAGTTTTGGAAGTCATTCTTAAAAAAAACAAACTTTTTTTTCTAGAAAAAATCTCCGAAAAAGGGTAAATTGAATTAAAAAGAATGAAATTGTAACCTGTTATGGCGAGGATGACGCCACCAAGGGAAATCCATGCTTCTTTTTTGTTCCTCTTGAAATATTCTACTATGTATTGGGGATTTATAGCTTTAATAACTGTAGGGTCATATTTGAAGAAATTATAGACCCCAATGCCAGCGATTGGCCAAACCAAACACAGATTATTGGAGCAAAGCTGTAACCGACTTTGTCAGTTCCAAATCTTTGAAAGATGAATAGGCAAAGTAAGATGACAACTGATATCCAAACAATTCTATCTGCAAACAAAGAGAAATATATATATAAAAAAAATAAACTTGTTACAAGCATTTACTAGAAAAGAATCTTCTTGGGTCATAAGATATTTGAATTATTTATGTGATGTTGCAAAGTGGAACGGAAGTATTTTTTTTTAAGGGATGGAAAACTTTGACCTTTTGATTTTGAGAAAACAAATTTTTTACAAAGTAAGGAGTGTTACTGAACGAAAATACGTACCTTCTGTCATGGCAGATGTAGCTTCTTTGATCCCTCCGACTGCCGATAAAGCTGCCGATGAGTTGGACGAATATTTATTAGAAAAGGTTCTTTTTTTTTTTCTTTTTTAATAGTCAAAAAGCACTCAAAAGTCATGCATGTGCATGCATGTTCAATGACAGAGAGGGTAAGAGACGAAACCAAAGTCTAGCTAGCTTCTGGTGAAAATAATTACAGATGATATTATAATAAAGTAAAGAAGATGAGAGAGAAAATCTGAGATGCAAGGAGTGAGAACACCGTCTCCGATCACCATGGAAGTACCGAGCATGGTGGCGAACAAGAGGAAGAACTTGGCAAAATGGCTCTTCTCAAGCATAGACTTAAGCATTGACGCTCGTCGGAGCCGGTTATTCGGCAACTGCATTTGAAATTTGACATGTCTCGATCTTCAGCTTCTTGACTTGGGATCAAACCCACCTTCGCATATCGGCATATCAGAGAATACAAAGCAAATGTTCCTCCTGAACAAACAGAGTTGACCGTTTACTAGTAGCAGAAGCAATACAACTAGAATAAGATATTGAATGAAAGTCAATCGGACAAACAAAGGGATTAGCCTTTCCAAATGACCAATAGAGGTTGGACAAATTCCTGTTACAAAGCGAATCTAGAGGTAAAAATGCCTTATTTCGTCCAACATGGTGAAATAAGTGGCCTAAACCAAACAAGCCCGTTTGAACCCTTGACCACTGGAAGAGAGCAGAATTTTCACCCTCTATGCTAACACCTCGGTGGTTGTTGTATGGTAGTTCAGAGCAGACTTTTGATATTCACCAAAATGTTTTTCTTTTAATATTTAGAAAATAATTGTATTATAATAGATGAAATATGGCTAACAATTATTTTCTAATAATAATTGATCCACCTTATTCTACAAATAGTAAATTTATTACGTAAATATGTATATTATAATATTGATGATGAATTTATGAGATAAGAAACAAGCTCGGACATGAAAAAAAATACAATAAATATAATTTTATTTAGCTTACTTACTAAATGATTTAAATTTAAGAAAATGAATTTTAAATAAACATAACCTAAATATTGGAACTACAAAGAAAAAAAAAATTAAACGTGACAACTTCTACCAGAAATATCACATAGTTTAAAAGAATTTATATTCAAATAGTGATATTTTGCATGCTATTTTTTCCATGGCTGCGTCTATATAAAACTTTTTCATAAACAAACCCAGTGGCACTGATCCTTCAACAAATGACCATCAAAACGATTCTCATGACAACTACATCATTAATTGACGTTAACACCGTCGGCAAACCAAAAACATAGGACAAAAAAGAACTAGAGAAACATCAAACGAAGTTGTACGATATTATTCACAAATTATGTATATCAAGTCATTAATTAGCTTGTTTCGAAACCTGAACTTAGAATATTAATTAGTATACTCTTTCATGATCATCCGAATCCGGGGCGGAGTCAAAAATTTTGTCTAGTGGGGGTAACTTAAATCATATGAATATTAAAATTACTAATGTTCACAAAAGTATAATTTTATTAATAGAACGTCAATTAAAGTAATAATTCATATACATGAGCGCTATAAAAAAAGAGCCAATAAAAAAAGTTAATTATAAATTTATCTATAAGACCTAATTACCTAACAACAAATTTTGAACCAAAAAATTTGGTTCAATCATAAATAGTTGAATTTTAACAACTAATCGAAACAATCGTAAACTATGACTATTCTATTAAGGTATAAGAATTACTTAACCAATCACAATAAAATTATTCGAAACACCAAATACAATATAATTTAATCTAACACATAATGGAGGCATTTAGCCTTTTAATGGAATTTTTTTGACATTTATAAGTGACCCATATATTTGTCAAAATATCATAACTACCTATAAATCTTTTAAAAAAAATTAGTGGAGGCAAATCTCTAAAAAGATTTAAAATTTTTAAAATTATACTTACTCCCCAGAATTTTTTAAAATTCCAGTGGAGACAGCTGCCTCACTGTAGATCCGCCACTGATCCGAATCGAACCATCGTAATGGGTTTATATCTCTTCGATTTAGTAAAAGAAACCCATGAAACTTGTAGGAAAAATAAACCATTTTAATACCAAGATGCATATAATAAAGCATTGAAAAGAGAGTTCTTACCATCGCCGTTATCGTTCGCCTGCAAGACGATGAAAACGTACTTCACAAGAGGTATCAAGGTTAGGGTATAGAAGATCAACGCTAGAACACCAAGAATGTCATTGTTGTGCTTGATAGTTCCATTGGAGAAGGTGCTCGAATACACGTATAGAGGTGATGTACCAATGTCCCCATACACAATTCCTAGGCTCTGATAGGCTAGATGCAAGATCACCGACCACTCTGCACCCTAAAAAAAAAAAAAAAAAAAAAAAGAAGAAAATTCTTGATATTTATCTTACTTTCAATTCATCTTTCCATGAACCATATAACTTATATCTCATCCCATTTATCTCTTATCTTGGCTTATAGAAAACATTTTTTATGACCCTTTTTATTTGCTAAATCGTGAGTTTATAGGGTCTTTAATGTTGGATTACTCAGGGTCAGAAAAATACCACAAACAAGATATAAATAAAGAGGATATCTCTATTTCTCTTTGGAAATAAAATACAAGAATTATTACAAAAATTCTTACTGAGATCTCTCTCTCTCTCTCTCTGTGTTTCTTCCTCATTTAACTTGAACCATGACATTTGCCTTCACTAAACTTCCTATTTATAAGGAGTTTTCTGGCCAAATAAGTCAAGGAGAAGGGAACACAATTTAAAGCTTGGGCAAGCTTTGTCAAAGCTTCACCTGTCCACCGCCAGCCAGTCCACCGACAAGTTGTCCATAGGGTGGCTACTGGCATGAGCTACTGGGTAGCTTTCTGATGGAGTTGGACCTTCAATTCTCCCTCTCCAAAACCATCATAAGAGAATGTAATTAGACATTCATCCCGGCTATGTCTCTGCACAGCTCAAGCTTCTCCCGAGTGACGACCTTTGTCAACATGTTTGCTAGATTCTCCTTTGTGTGGATCTTTACTAGTTTCAATAACTGTTGCTCCATCACTTCGCGTATCCAATGATAGCGAATATCAATATGTTTCGTCCAGGAATGGTACATTGAGTTCTTGCTCAAGTCCAGAGCACTTTGACTATCTCAATGCACCTTGTATTCCTTCTGCTTAATACCTAGTTTTTGGAGAAACCGCTTTAACCACAACATTTCCTTACCAGCTTTCGCTGCTGCAATATACTCTGTTTCTGTTGTGGATAAAGCTATGCATTTCTGCAACCTTGACTGCCATGACACAGCTCCCCCTGCAAAAGTGTACAGAAATCCTGATGTAGATTTTCTACCATCAAGATCTCCTGCCATATCTAAATCTGTATAGCTTTCCAAAACTGGTTCGACTCCCCCGTAACACAGACATATCTTTGATGTACCCTTAAGATATCTGAGAATCCACTTGACCGCTTCCCAGTGTTCTTTCCCTGGATTGGAAAGGAATCTGCTCACCATACCCACTGCACGGACAATATCTAGCCTTGTACACATCATTGCATACATTAGACTCCCAACTGCTGAAGAGTAAGGAATCAGTGTTATATCTTCTATCTCCTTCTTTGATGAGGGATAGAAATTCTTGCTCAACTTGAAATGATTAGCTAGTGGGATGCTGATTGGCTTGGCAGTATCCATGTTGAACCTCTGGATCACCCGTTCAACATATTTCTCTTGTGATAGCCACAATTTCTTGGTTTTTCTATCACGAACAATCTGGATGCTTAATATCTGCTGAGCTGGGCCTAAGTCCTTCATGTCAAAGGACTTGGACAGTTCCTTCTCCAACTGACTAATCTTTATTACATCATTTTCGACGATCAACATGTTATCAACATAAAGTAGGAGTGCAACGAAATTACCATCCGAAAATCTCTGAACGTAAACACAATGATCTGTAGCAGTCCTCTTATAGCTAGGGGTGGCAATTTTTGATACGACATGATAACCCGATACTAATACGACACGAATAAATGGGTTTGTGTTGACTAAATTTTTGACCCAACCCGTATATGACACGACCCGTCAACACGGAGTGTTAATGGGTCGTGTTCGGGTTCAACCTGAATTTACCCCAATTGACTCGTGTATTTAATCGGGTTGACATGAACTCGACTGACCTGTTTTGACCTGAAATTACCCACTTATATATAAAGAATTTAATGACTATTTCTCAAACCCTACCTTTATTTCCTACTTTTCTCTATTCAGCAGCAGCTAGCAGACCCGCCTCCCTCCCTCCCTGAGCTCCCTCCTTCTCTCGGTCTCAGCTTAGCGTGGGCGTCGGCGACTAGTAGGTTCGGCAGTACCAGGTAAGATCTCTCTCTCTCTCTCTCTCGCTCTTTCTTTTGCTCTTTCTCTTGTTCTTTCTCCGTCCGGCGGTACTAGGTAAGATTGACCAGTTGTCACTACATTTATTTACGCTATTACGTTTTTGATAGCTGTCACCTTGTGCAAATATGCTGATGGCTAATTTAGATTTTTTTAATACTTAGAGAAACACTGTGTTGAATGTGTAAGACATAAGAAAGGTGATGCTCACAGATTTTGTGAACCATTAAAATGATGTTTGTAGAAACTCTGTTGAATTTAAGTTTTTAATATTGTTCAGAACTCCCCTATCATGAAGCAAACTTAGTGACAACAAATCATACCATTTTTTGGTTGTGTCATAGTTCAGATAGAGTAAGCACAAAATTTAAGTAGTCTAATCCTTCGTGCAGTTGGTTAGGATATTCAGAGTCTTCCATATTTTAGCAAGTCTTTCTTTGAGCTTTGCTTGCAACCCCGCAAATGTCATCTGACATTTTGGTGGGCTGCTATTAGGATACCATTAGTTTGGGTATTTTAGGAAGAGTGGTTGGCATCTGCACCAAACAAAGTAGTATTTTATGCACTTCTTGGTAGATTTTCAGACATGATGTCTGAGTTCAGGTTCAAAGGAGGGGAAGAAACAAGGCTGACTACCGATAGTCTGAAAGGTTATTTAGATTTTTTTAATGCTTAGAGAAACACTGTGTTTTATGTACAACGTCCATATTGTGTAAACTTCTGCTCTTCTTTTGTTTATATTCACTGAAATCAAATAGTCCTCTACATTTCTTTTGTTTTCCGACTTACTTTCTGTATTTTGAATGTTTGTTAGGTTTCTAATTGGCAAATAATCTTGCCAGGAAATTGGAGGATACATCATGTACTCAACTGACTGTGGATGTCAATATTGAGAATGCATTCAATGCTGCCCTAGATACAAAAAATGGAGATAATACGAATGATGAAAAACGACAACGTACTTCCACATTAGAGGTGTGGGGGGTTTTTTAGAAAGTATGTAAATCAAGACAATATTTTAAAGGCACAATGCAACAAATGTAAGATTGAGTACAATGCTGCTAGTAACTATGAGACTGGTAATTTATGGCGTCATTTAAAGACTTGTTTGAAACAACGTGATGTGGGCTAGATGATTTTAAGTCAAAGTCAAGAGTCTATTACTGCACGGTCTTTGAAGTTTAACGAGGAAAAATTTTGAGAGATGTTAATAAGTGCAATAATTATATATGACTTGCCCTTTCAATTCGTTGAGTATGAATGTGTCAGACAAATTTTTAGCTACTTAAATTCAGATGTCAAATTCATTACAAGAAACATGACTAAGGCTGATATTCTGAAATTGGATGCAAAAGAAATGTGTAGGTCTGTTATCTTGCATGATATACCTGGCAGGATTGGTTTGACTTCTGATTTGTGGACATTTATTGCTACCGATGGGTATTTAAGTCTCACAGCACATTTAATCGACAAAGATTGGGTAATGCAAAAAAGAATTCTGAATTTCTCTTACATGCCTCCTCCACACAGTGGCATTGCACTGATTGACAAGATTTATAGTTTGTTGACAAAATGGGAGGTTGAGAAAAAGTTGTTTTCAATTACTTTGGATAATGCTTCTGCAAATGATGTCATGGTTGATGTGCTTAAGAATCAACTTAATTTGATAGATGCTTTGCTTGGTGATGGTGGGTTTTTTCATATTCGTTGTTGTGCTTATATTCTAAACTTGATTGTGCAAGAAGGGTTGAAAGAAGTAAATTTAGCTATGGAAAAAGTCAGAGAGAGTGTCAAGTATGTAAAAGGTTCTCAGACAAGAAAACAAAAATTCTTAGAGTGTGTTGCACAGACATCTTTAGATAGCAAAAAAAATTTGAAGCAAGATGTTCCTACTAGATGGAACTCAACATATTTGATGCTTGCAAGTGCAATTTACTACCGTTGTGCCTTTTGTCATTTGCAACTTGTGGATTCTAATTTTAAGCATTGCCCATCTCAAGAGGAATGAATCAAAGTTGAAAAGATTCAAAAGTTTTTAAAAAATTTCTATGATACTACTGTTATCTTTTCTGGCTCCAAGTACCCCACATCAAACTTGTATTTTCAACAAGTTTTCAGTATTCAATTGACTTTGAATAGAGAAATGCAAAGTATGAATACTTTTATGAGAAGAATGTCTTGTCAAATGTATGGAAAATTTGAGAAGTATTGGTTGGAGTATAGCGTTATATTGGCCATTGCAATTGTGTTTGGTCCTCACTATAAACTTGACTTTTGTGGAGTGGTGCTATAAGAAGCTTTATGGTGAAGGCTCTCTTGAGTATTTTCATGTTCGAGACAAACTTCTTTCTCTATTTGATGAGTATATGAGCAAATCTGTTGTCACCTCTTCTTCTCAAGCATCGACTGTTCCTCGGGGTAGTCTAGTTGCTTGTGATCCACAACCTGTGTTAGATTTGAAGGTATTTAATTTTTTGTTTTATAGTTTTTATTGTATTAGATTAATACTATTGATAGTCTATGATTTGAAAGTCTGTGATATTGATAATGTAGGCATTTGTCATTGAGAGCAATGCATCTGGTCTTAAAACACAAAAAAGTCAATTGCAATTGTATTTGGATGAGCCTAGGGTTGACATAGAAACAAAACTTCTTGTTTTTGATTATTGGAGAGCTCATCAATATCGTTATCGGGAACTTGCTATGATGGCCCGTGATGTGTTAACTATTCCAATTTCTACGGTTGCTTTAGAATCAGCTTTTAATATTGGTGGTCGGGTTCTTGACCAATACCGTAGTGCTTTGAAGCCTCATGTTGTGGAAGCCTTGATGTGCACTAGAGATTGGTTATGTGCAGAAAAAGGTAATAAATATAATTTGTGATGATTGCGATATTTAATTATTCTTACAAATATTAAATTCTTATTTATATGCTTTCCTTATTGTCATTTAAAAAATTCACAAGTGCAATTGGAAGCGTTGATAGAAGATGTTATAAATCCGACTTTGAACAAAAATGAGGAGGATACGTCGGTGTAATGTTCAAATGTGATTGTGGATCTTGATTGTTGATGTGTGTGAGTCATAAAACTTAAACTCTTTTTCTCAATCTTATGTGTTTGTTGATGTGTGTTGAGTCATAAAACCTAACTCTTTTTATGTGGGTTTTTTTTATAGGGGATAGTGGATCTTGATTGTTGATGTTGGCCAGATTTAAGAGATGAAGAGAATTTGAAAGATGCTAGTAATATTTCTTGGGGATTTTAGTAAAGTTTTTTGAATATTTGTAATATTATGGAGATTTGTAT